TATGTTAGTGAAAGTTAAATATAATGTATCAGAAAACTTAAATACTTAAAAACTTAAATATCACAGTAGGAGTATTCCTTTATCACACGAAATTTTACCCAACAAAACAACAGAGAGCACTTTTTTTTTTTTAGTTCCTCAATGCAAATCTATTTAAATTGCAGGCCTTTTGTTTTCCTGGCTGAGAGCATGCATGAGCAGAATAAAGATGCCTAGAAGTACTCTTACATAGATGCCTGCTGAGGAGCCACTACAGAGTTCAGTCTTATTTCTAAAGAATATTTTCTAGTACCAGCCATCAATCCCACTTAGCAGTTATACTGCAGACTACTTACTGAACACCTTGACTACTGTAGGTGCCTCAAACACGTTGTCCTCAGTTACTAGCATGCACACAAATCTCTTTTCATCACTGATCCTTGCGTTACTGATAGACAAAGTGTAGTTTTCTGAGAGGCTCAATCTGTCTTTGTATTCTGGTACATCATCGTATTGCACACTTTTCTTGGTAGAGGACCTGAAGGCAATAAATACTGGGGATCCATCGGGATTTTCCTAAAAATTAAAATAATAATAAGACATTTTAAAAACAAGCATATTCAAATGTTTCAAGATTATGCCCAGAATAACAAAATTTCCTTGGCCTTATTTTTCCACCAAATTTTACTATTTGTCCAAGAAGAATAATTTTGGATATGAATCTTGTATACATTTTTAGTTATATAAAGTTACTCTTATGTGGAAAAGCTACCCATTCTTTTAAATGTGTGAAAATGAAAGGACAGAGTCCTAGGAATCTGAGCTTTATTTTTACATCTGGAAAACAGAATTAATGATTCTTTTGAAACTAACAACAGCTGATCTTATATATCTATATAAACAAAGCAAAATCAAGTGTTCAAATATATAGAATGATAACCTTCATAGAAGTTATGTATTTGGACTACAAATACCCATTATTTTTTACACAATTATCTTTGGCATATTTTTTACTTTAAATGTTCATGCCTTTTAGCCAAAATTGACATAGCTGAGCTTTAAATATAACCTTGTTCAATGAGTCTTCATGAAGGAACAATACATGTCCTTGTAAAACAATCAGGCCCATTACTCAACAGAATCAGATTAATCACTAAAATCTATAGTTTAGGTATCCAAGGCATAAGATTAAACTCATAAGGCTTTCATATAAAACCTTATTATAAAAATACAAAATAATTTGCATCCACAATAATACCAAGAACAGTAACACTTGCAATGTATTTCTTTCTTAGCTTCCACAAATATTCTCATAGCTAATCAAATTCATCTGAAATGAGGGTCAGTACCTCCTCTACTTTCCTTTCAAGGCCTTTGTGAAAGAGAATATGACAGGCATGTTAACAGACATAGAAAATGTTAAGATTCTATTAAAGTTTGAATTTTAAAAATTATTAATATTGATTACCAAATTAATCTTCGAAAGACCAAAAGTTATAGTTGGTTGAATACTGAAACATGTCAATTATGTTTGCACTTAACCTTTTAATTTGGTTGCAAGTTTACAAAACAAATCTATGTCTTAAAACATTGCTTTAGTAAGAGAAATCTGCTACCTTGTGTTTCAGGAATAAATAGTACTTATTATTATTTTTTCAGCACTAAACTAATTGTTAGGTTCTTGCTTTGGACTTTTCATGTGTCAACTGACTTAATTATTATAACAATAATGTTCATTTAAGTTACAACATGAGCTCCATATACAGATTACACAATGGATGCAGTGTTTAGATGAATAACTTCCTAAGTCACAGCTAGTCAATCGAGGCAGAGCTGAAATTTGAGCTCAGCAGCCTGGCTTCTTATGCCACTCTCAGTAGCTGATAGCCCTTCTGCACCAGGCTCTGTGGCAGATGCTGGTGAAGTAGAAACAGGAGTGGGTTGCACAAGGTTGTGAATATCTCTATTCACAAGACATGGCAAAACTTGTTTTGTTTCTTTTCCCCCTTTCCATATCTTTCAATTGTCTTTCAAGAGTATATATTGAATTAGAAATTGTGTATTAACAATTTCTACAAATCAAGACTGCTTTTGGAAAACACAGCACCTCAAATGACTTTATTGCTGAAGCTTTTTCCCTGGCAATTTTCAAATTGCCATTAATGGTTGGTTTCCAAATATTATTGTCTCAGTACATTTTAGGGAAAAATTGTTGTTGTTGCTATTTTAAGTGCCTTCGAATTAGTTCTGACTCACAGAGACCCTGTACAGGGTTACCTAGGAGGAGCTGGAGGGTTTGAACTACCAACCTTGCAGTTAGCAGTACAGTCTCTCTCTCTCTCTCTCATACATAATAATTTACATCTCCAAAAGGCCACATTCTGCAAGTCTGCTCCTGGTCACCAGTTGTTAGTCCCTCTCTTCATGACCCCATCTCTGCCTCCATCTCTGGCGCTGCTGCTTCTCTGGATAAGGTCCCACATTCTATTTGTGCGTTCCTCTCTTGATGGTCCTAGGGTCCTCCCTTTCTGGACTGTAAGATCAACCACTTCCCTTTTTTTGTTACAAAACTTCTACTTTTACAAGTGTGACAGTC